AATTTCCTCTTTTTCCCCCCCCTCCACAGTCTCGGCGCGTGGTTGGCAGCCGGTTCCTCAACGTTTCCCCTTCTTGGCACGGCTGGGCCGCCGAAAAATCATTTTCCCCTTCGTCAGCAACTTCCCTCCTCGCCCCTTCGGCCTCGAGGAGCCAAGACCGGCCCCATCCCGTGCCCGTTGTTTGGTTTTTCGGTGAAGTTTTCGACCCGTGGCCCCAAATTTGGCCCCGTTTTGGTTCTGTGGGTCCTTCGGTGCCGGTTCTCCCTTCCGCCGCCGCTTCCCCGCCGCCGTGGGGCGAGGGTTTGGGGTGGTGGGACGTGGGTTGGGGGTGGTGGGACGTTCCCCTTGGCTTCGCCGTCGTCGCTTCCGTAACGGGGCAGCTCTTGAGGAGCTTCGTTTCCTTTTGGGGCGTTCAGGGAACAAATCTTGTAGGGGGAGAAAGAAAACAGACCAAAAAAAGGGGGTTTAGAGAAAAAAAGGGGTGACGAGGGTTCGGCGTCGGGGCTGAGGGACGTGTCAGGGTGACAGAGTTTGGTGTTGGGGCTGAGGGACGTGTCAGAGCGTTTACTTTGAACCAAAATCATGGAGGATTCAAGGTTTTTTCGCTTCATCAGCCACTGTCTGAGGGAGGAGGGGATTTTGGGGGGGTTTTGGTCCCTTTTGGACTCACCTTTATCCGGTTCCTCGCCCACCTCCTGTCGATAATATTCGGCGTCGTTCTCCTCCGATTCCTCGGCCTCATCCTGCTGCTCCGGTGCCCCAGGATCTTCGGCGTCGCTGTCTCCATCCTCCTGCCTTTTTCTCCTGATCCCTGCCAAGCTCTTCTCCCTGTGGTGTCACCATCACGTCACAGAATGATACAGGGTTGGAAGGGACCTTCTGGAGATCATCTCCTCCAACCTCCCTTCCAGAGTAGGGGCACCCAGAGCAGGTCCCATCTAGGGGGGGTTGGGATGTCTCCAGAGATGGAGACTCCTCCACCTCTCTGGTGGGCTCTGCCACCCTCAAAATGGAGAAGTTCCTCCTCATGTTGAGGTGGAACTTCTCATGTCCCAGAGGAACATCTCCTTGTGCCAGTGAGTCTGCAGAACAGATTTCCTCCTCCTTTCGGGTTACAGAATCATGGAATGCTTTGGGGTTGGAAGGGACCTTCTGGAGATCATCTCCTCCAACCTCCCTTCCAGAGAAAGGGCATCCAGAGCAGGTCCCATCTAGGTGGGGTTGGGATGTCTCCAGAGATGGAGACTCCCCCACCTCTCTGGTGGGCTCTGCCACCCTCAAAATGGAGAAGTTCCTCCTCGTGTTGAGGTGGAACTTCTCATGTCCCAGAGGAACATCCCCTTGTGCCAGTGAGTCTGCAGAACAGATTTCCTCCTCTTTTAGGGTTACAGAATCATGGAATGCTATGGGGTTGGAAGGGACCTTCTGGAGATCATCTCCTCCAACCTCCCTTCCAGAGAAAGGGCATCCAGAGCAGGTCCCATCTAGGTGGGGTTGGGATGTCTCCAGAGATGGAGACTCCCCCACCTCTCTGGTGGGCTCTGCCACCCTCAAAATGGAGAAGTTCCTCCTCGTGTTGAGGTGGAACTTCTCATGTCCCAGAGGAACATCCCCTTGTGCCAGTGAGTCTGCAGAACAGATTTCCTCCTCTTTTAGGGTTACAGAATCATGGAATGCTATGGGGTTGGAAGGGACCTTCTGGAGATCATCTCCTCCAACCTCCCTTCCAGAGAAGGGGCACCCAGAACAGGTCCCACAGGGTCCCATCTAGGAGGGGTTGGAATGTCTCCAGAGATGGAGACTCCCCCACCTCTCTGGTGGGCTCTGCCACCCTCAAAATGGAGAAGTTCCTCCTCACGTTGAGATGGAACTTCTCATGTCCCAGTTTTGTGCCCGTTCCCTCTTGTCCTGTCACTGGGCACCACTGGAAAAAGCCTGGCCCCATCCTCCTGACACCCACCAGCCAGGAGATCCCCCCCCTCAGTCTTCTCTTCTCCGTCTCCAAAGCCCCAAGTCCCTCAGCCTTTCCTCAGCAGAGAGATGCTCCAGCCCCTCATCATCTTCGTAGCCCTTTGCTGGACCCTCTCCACCAGTTCCCTGTCCTTCTGGAACTGGGAGAGCCCACAACTGGTCCCAGTGCTCCAGATGGGGCAGAGCAGAGTGGGAGGATGACCTCCTTTGAGTTTCTCCACCCTCTTCCTGATGCCCCCCAGGATGCCATTGGCCTCCTTGGCCACCACGTTGGTGGCTTGTGGGCATCCTCTTGTCCCCCAGGACTCCCAGGTCTTTCTCCTCAGAGCTGCTCTCCAGCAGGTCACCCCCAACCTGGGTTATTCCTCCCCAGGTGAAGGAACCTCCACTTGCCCTTGGTGGAACTTCATCTGGTTCCTCTCTGCCCAACTCTCCAGCCTGTCCAGCTCTCCTTGGCTGGTGGCCCAGCCTTCTGCTGTGGTAGCCACCCCTCCCAGTTTGGTGTCACCTTCTGGAGCCCACCCCCAACCTGTCCTGGGGCAGAGGGTTATTCCTCCCCAGGTGAAGGAACCTCCACTCGGTAGAACTTCCTCAGGTTCCTCTCTACCCAACTCTCCAGCCTGTCCAGCTCTCCTTGGCTGGTAGCCCAGCCTTCTGCTGTGGTAGCCCAACCTTCTGCTGTGGTAGCCACCCCTCCCAGTTTGGTGTCACCTTCTGGAACCTCCACTTGCCCTTGGTGGAACTTCATCAAGGTTCCTTGGTGGAACTTCATCAGGTTCCTCTCTGCTGAGCTCTCTAGCCCGTCCAGCTCTCCTTGGCTGGTAGCCCAGCCTTCTGCTGTGGTAGCCCAACCTTCTGCTGTGGTAGCCACCCCTCCCAGTTTGGTGTCACCTTCTGGAAGCCACCCCACCCTCACCTGTGGGCCTCCTTCTGCCGCCGCTTGCGTTCCACGTCCGCCTCCTGCTTCTGCCGCCGCTCCGCCTTCAGCTGCAGCTTCGCCTCCTTCCTTGCCAGGATCTCCTTCACCTCTGCCTCCATCTTATGGACTTAAAACCCAAAGACCCCTCCCAGTTTGGTGTCACCTTCTGGAGCCCACCCCCAACCTGTCCTGGGGCAGAGGGTTATTCCTCCCCAGGTGAAGGAACCTCCTGAGCTCTCTAGCCCGTCCAGCTCTCCTTGGCTGGTAGCCCAGCCTTCTGCTGTGGTAGCCCAACCTTCTGCTGTGGTAGCCACCCCTCCCAGTTTGGTGTCACCTTCTGGAAGCCACCCCACCCTCACCTGTGGGCCTCCTTCTGCCGCCGCTTGCGTTCCACGTCCGCCTCCTGCTTCTGCCGCCGCTCCGCCTTCAGCTGCAGCTTCGCCTCCTTCCTTGCCAGGATCTCCTTCACCTCTGCCTCCATCTTATGGACTTAAAACCCAAAGTGTCCAGCTCTCGCTGGCTGGTAGCCCAGCCTTCTGCTGTGGTAGCCACCTCTCCCAGTTTGGTGTCACCTTCTGGAACCCACCCCCAACCTGTCCTGGGGCAGGGGGTTATTCCTCCCTAGGTGAAGGAACCTCCACTTGCCCTTGGTGGAACTTCATCAGGGTTCCTTGGTGGAACTTCATCAAGGTTCCTCTCTGCTGAGCTCTCCAGCCTGTCCAGCTCTCCTTGGCTGGTAGCCCAGCCTTCTGCTGTGGTAGCCCAACCTTCTGCTGTGGTAGCCACCCCTCCCAGTTTGGTGTCACCTTCTGGAAGCCACCCCACCCTCACCTGTGGGCCTCCTTCTGCCGCCGCTTGCGTTCCACGTCCGCCTCCTGCTTCTGCCGCCGCTCCGCCTTCAGCTGCAGCTTCGCCTCCTTCCTTGCCAGGATCTCCTTCACCTCTGCCTCCATCTTATGGACTTAAAACCCAAAGAGAGGGGGGGGGGATGGGGTGAGAGGCCCCCATCTCACCCCCCCCGTGGTGAATTTTACCGGAGATGGCGTTTTTTGGCCACTTACTGAAGCTGTGGTAGAGCACGTTGCCTTGTGCCAACCCTTCCTCCACCTTGATGAGCTGCAGAGTCATGCGGGGGCCGATCTGGGGGAATGGGGAGAAGGGGGGGGGATGTGAAAAGCCCCCCCCCCCATCAGGCTCGATGTGGGGGTGACGGTGACCCCGGTGTCACCCACCTCGGTGAGACGCACGGCGCTCTGCTGGGCTTTCATGTTTCCTCGGCCGGCGTACGCCTGCGGCAGCTCCAGGACGTTGTGGGTCCCATCCTGCTCGGCCTCGCTCTCCGACAGGTTGATGTCCCTGTCAAGGGACAGGAAATTTTTTGGGGGACAGGCTGGAAAGTGCCCTCTGGGACCTTTGTGTGTCCCCCCCCACCAAGTTGTCCCCTCACACACTTCACCAACAGCTCGCTGATGTCTTCCAGGCGGCTCATGTTGGGGAACTTCTCCTGCAGCAGCTTCTTCACGGCTTTGTTGACGCCCACGGGCACGACCTTCACGCTGCTGTGAGGAGGAGGAGGAGGAAGAGGTCAGTGTTGGGACACGGGGCGCAGGGTTGTCCCCCCAAAAAATTAGGAGTGTGACACTCACTAGTGCCTGAAATCGAGGAGCTGCGTCTCTGTGTTGTAGCTGATGAGCACACACCGCTTGATGCTGTTGAGGTTGACCTGGGGAGAAGAGAAGGAGAAGGAGAGGAGAAGGAGAGGAGAAGGGAGGATGAGAGAGAGGAGAAGAGGAGAAGGAGAGGAGGAGGAGAAGGAGAGGAGGAGGAGAAGGAGAGGAGGAGGAGATGGAGAGGAGGAGGAGATGGAGAAAGAGGAGAGAAGGAGAGGAGGAGGAGATGGAGAAAGAGGAGGAGATGGAGAAAGAGGAGAGGAGAAGGAGAAGAGGAAGAGGAGGAGAAGGGAAGGGGAGAAGGAGAAGGAGAAGAGAAGGAGAAGAGAAGGAGAAGAGAAGGAGAAGAGAAGGAGAAGAGAAGGAGAAGAGAAGGAGAAGAGAAGGAGAAGAGAAGGAGAAGAGAAGGAGAAGAGAAGGAGAAGAGAAGGAGAAGAGAAGGAGAAGAGAAGGAGAAGAGAAGGAGAAGGGAAGGAGAAGAAGAAGAGAGGAGGAGGAGGAGAGGAGAAGAGAAGGAGAAGGGAAAGAAAAAAGAAGAAGAGGAGAAGGGAAAGAGAAAAGGAGAGGAGAAGAGAAAGAGAGAAGAAAGAGAGGAGAAGGAGAAGGGAAAGAGAAGGAGAAGATTTTATTTCAGTGCGAAGGGACCTAAAACCACCTGATCAATTCAGGGCTGACCAAAAGTCAAAGCCTGTTTTGAAGGGCATTATCCAACCATCTCTCAAACCCTGCCAGGCCCGGGGCCATCTCCCACCTCTCCAGGAAGCCCATCCCAGGATTTTACCACCTTCTTGGTAAAGAAACACTTCCTAAAATCCACTCTGAACCATCCCTGGTGCAGCTTTGAACCGTTTCCACGTGTCCAGCACCCCCAGGGTGGCTTCTCCCCCAGTTTATTCTTATAAATACCCAGTGTTAGTCCCTTTTTGTGCAGATCCCAGCATCTGGACTTGTTGAATTTCATTTCATCCCATGAAATCGGAGCCCACAGAGCTCCAGTTTATCCAGATCTCTCCAGAGAGTCACCACCACCTCCCAGTTGGGAATCCCAACCGGATTATTGAGAAATATAGAATCATAGAATCATTGAGGTTGGAAGAGACCCTTGGGATCATCGAGTCAAACCATCTCCCCTGCTCTACAAAGTCCTCCCCTACACCATGTCCCTCAGCACTGCATCTAAACGGCCCTTAAACACCATTCTTTCAGTGAAAAATTCCTTCCTAATGTTCAATCTAAACCTCCCCTGTTGGAGCTTGAAGCCGTTCCCTCTCCTTCTGTCACTAATTACCTGGCTAGTCCAACTCCCCTGCTGAAGCAGGATTGCCCAGAACTAGAGCATGTCACTCAGGAGCATCCAGGTGGGTCTTGAAAATCTCCAAGGAAGGGGACTCCACACCCTCCCTGGGCAGCCTGTTCCAGGGCTCTGTCACCCTCACCTCCCTGCTTCTGCTGGTCACACTATTTTTGATACAAGCCAGGATGCCATTGGCTTTCTTGCCCCCCTGGGCACACTGTTGGCTCATCTTCATCCGTTTGGCAACTAGAACCCCCAGGTCTCTTTCCTCCAGGCAGCTCCAGCCACACTTCCCCCAGCCTGTAGCGCTGCAGGGGGTTATTGTGGCCCAAGTGCAGGACCTGGCACTTGCCCTTGTTGAAACTCATCCCGTTGATCTTGACCCAGTGATCCAATCTATCTAGGTCCCTCTGTAGGGCTTCCCTCTCCTCCTGGGAGTCACCACTCCTGCTTAACTTGGTGTCATCTGCAAACTTGCTGATGTTCCACCTTATGTCCTTATGGAGATCATCAATAAAGACGTTAAATAGAAATGGTCCCAACACTGAGCCTTGAAGCACACCACAACTGGACGTACATCCATTGAGCACCACTCTTTGGGACCTTCCAGTCAAGCCAGTGCTTGATCCAGCAGATGGTGTGCTCATCCAGGCCGTGCGAAGCCAGTTTTTCCAGCAGATTTGTATGGGGGACAGTGTCAAATGCTTTTTGAAAATCCAGGTCTACAATATCAACAGCCTTTGCCCTCGTCCAATAATCTGGTTATCTTGTCATAGAAGGAGATCAAGTTCATCTGACAAGGACCTGCCTTTCATAAACCCATGCTGACTAGGCCCGATCCCCTGGTTGCCCATTCTGTGGGTTTTGATGGCATTCAAGATCACCTGAGGAGCAGGGGAGGAGGTGGGATGGGTGCTGAGCACCCCCCTGGAAGAGTTGGGGACACCCCCTCGTCCCCCCAATCTTGCTTACCCGGTGGACGTTGATGGAAGGGAACATGTTCTGGAACATACTGGCCATCAGCTTGACCTGGATCTGCTGGAGACCGAAATTACTGAGGACCAGGAGGGGGTGGTGGGTGAACTGCTGCTCGTGCATTCGGTGCCGTTTGAGGGACGACACCACGTCCTTGATCAGCGAGTACTGGAGAGAGAGAGAGAGGGGGGGACACACACAAAAAACACACAAAAAACACCAGGAGGATGAGGATGAGGAGGGGGCAAAATCCTCCCCTTGGCACCGGTGGGGAAGGGAAGCTCCTTCCATCACCCACCTGCATCACCTTGAACGTCAACGTGGGGCCACCAGGCAGCCGGAAAAGCTTCTGTGGAGGGGGGGGGACACCAAAAAAAACAGTGCTCAGTGCTGGGGGGAAACCATCAGCACTGGGATTGACCCCCCCCCAACCTCGGCGCAGACACATCAGTGCGTTTACTTTGTGTAGAATCACAGTTTGAACTCGGGGGGATTTTTGTCATCACCTGCGTCTGCAAAACGGGGTGGAAAACCCTTCCTTTCCCCCCCAAAAAAGCACCGACGCCCCGAGGGGGGAGCACGGCCACTGGGGAGGGACCCCCCCAAACCCCAGGAGGTGGGGGAAAATGGTGCTACTCACAAAATTGATGCTGGAGGTTGATTTGCTGAAGACCAAGAAATGTGTCACCCCCAGGGGCCCGGCCACGGCCACAAAATCCTTCAGGGAGTTGTTTTTTCTCACCTGTAGGACAAAAAAAACCACCCAAGCTCTTAAGACCTTCCCCCCCCGGTGCCAAAATCACCCCCTGGCTACAAAATCCTCGATTTTGGCTGAAGCCAGGGCAGGATTTGTGTGTCTGATAAGGTTATCACAAGTGGTGTTCCTCAAGGGACCGTGCTGGGGCCAAAACTGTTTAACATTTTGATCAATGATCTAGACAGGGGGATTAAAGGCACCATCAGCAAGTTTGGGGAGGACACCAAGCTGTGTGGTGGTGTCCATCCACCAGAGGGATGGGAGGTCATCCAAAAGGACCTGAAGAGGGTGGAGAGGTGGGCCCAGGTGAACCTCATGAGGTTCAACAAGAGCAAATGCAAGTCTGGAGCCCTCAATATAAGGAGATGGACCTGATGGAGTAGGTCCAGAGGAGGACCATGAGGATGATCAGGGGGTTGGAGCAACCTCTGCTCCGAGGACAGGCTGAGGGAGCTGGGGGTGTTCAGCCTGGAGAAGAGGAGGCTCCGGGGAGACCTTAGAGCAGCCTTCCAGGATCTGAAGGGGGCTACAGGAAGGTTGGGGAGAACCTGTTTAGAAAGGTCTCCAGTGACAGGACGAGGGGAAATGGCTTCAAACTGGAGAAAAGCAGATTGAGGTTGGAGATGAGGAGAAAGTTCTTGACTGTGAGGGAGATTGGAGGTCATCCAAAAGAACCTGGAGAGGTGGGTCCAGGTGAACCTCATGAGGTTCTACAAGAGCACGACCTTTGGAGGTCCCTTCCAGCCTGGGCCATTCTATGATTCTATGATTTTATCATCACCTGCATCTGCAAAACGGGGTGGAAAGCCCCGAGGGGGGAGCACGGCCACTGGGGAGGGACCCCCCCAAACCCCAGGAGGTGGGGGAAAATGGTGCTACTCACAAAATTGATGCTGGAGGTTGATTTGCTGAAGACCAAGAAATGTGTCACCCCCAGGGGCCCGGCCACGGCCACAAAATCCTTCAGGGAGTTGTTTTTCCTCACCTGCAGCATAAAAAAAAAGCCCAAGCTCTTAAGACCTTCCCCCCCCCAGTGCCAAAATCACCCCCTGGCTACAAAATCCTCGATTTTGGCTGAAGCCAGGGCAGGATTTGTGTCACAAGTGGTGTTCCTCAAGGGTCCATGCTGGGGCCAAAACTGTTTAACACTTTGATCAATGATCTAAACAGGGAGATTAAAGGCACCATCAGCAAGTTTGGGGATGACACCAAGCTGTGTGGTGGTGTCCATCCACCAGAGGGATGGGAGGTCATCCAAAAGGACCTGGAGAGGCTGGAGAGGTGGGCCCAGGTGAACCTCATGAGGTTCAACGAGAGCAAATGCAGGTCTGGAGCCCTCAATATAAGGAGATGGACCTGATGGAGAGGGTCCAGAGGAGGACCATGAGGATGATCAGGGGGATGGAGCAACCTCTGCTCCGAGGACAGGCTGAGGGAGCTGGGGTTGTGCAGCCTGGAGAAGAGGAGGCTCCAGGGAGACCTTCTTGCTCTCCACAACTCCCTGAAAGGAGGGTGTAGAGAGGTGGGGGTCGGTCTCTTCTCCCAAGTCACAGGTGACTTGGTGTCCCTCAAGGGGCCATGCTGGGACCAGTGCTGTCCAACATTTTGATCAATGATCTAGACAGGGGGGTTAAAGGCACCATCAGCAAGTTTGGGGAGGACACCAAGCTGTGTGGTGGTGTCCATCCACCAGAGAGATTGGAGGTCATCCAAAAGAACCTGGAGAGGTGGGTCCAGGTGAACCTCATGAGGTTCTACAAGAGCACGACCTTTGGAGGTCCCTTCCAGCCTGGGCCATTCTATGATTCTATGATTTTATCATCACCTGCATCTGCAAAACGGGGTGGAAAACCCTTCCTTTCCCCCCCAAAAAAGCGCCAACACCCCAAGGGGGGACGGAGGGACCCCCCCAAAGCTCACCTTGAGGGCTCTGGCGGTGTAGGGCTCCATCACCTTCCTCACGTCGGCCATGAGCTGCCGCACGTTCTTGCCCACGCGGCCGCGGTGGAAGACGAAGGAGTGGGGGACGGTGCCAAATTCCTGCTGGGCGTGTTGCAGCGCCGCCGCCCGCTCCTTCTTCTGGTTCTTGCTCTTTGGGGAGGATGAGGGGGGCCAGGAAATTTAATTAGAGGGGGAAAATGGGCAATGGATGGTCAGGGACCACTGGGTGGGCTTCGGTGGGGAGAGGAACCCCCTCCTTCTTCTGGTTCTTGCTCTTTGGGGAGGATGAGGGGGGCCAGGAAATTTAATTAGAGGGGGAAAATGGGCAATGGATGGTCAGGGACCACTGGGTGGGCTTCGGTGGGGAGAGGAACCCCCTCCTTCTTCTGGTTCTTGCTCTTTGGGGAGGATGAGGGGGGCCAGGAAATTTAATTAGAGGGGGAAAATGGGCAATGGATGGTCAGGGACCACTGGGTGGGCTTCGGTGGGGAGAGGAACCCCCTCCTTCTTCTGGTTCTTGTTATCATCACCTGCATCTGCAAAACGGGGTGGAAAACCCTTCCTTTCCCCCCCAAAAAAGCGCCAACACCCCAAGGGGGGACGGAGGGACCCCCCCAAAGCTCACCTTGAGGGCTCTGGCGGTGTAGGGCTCCATCACCTTCCTCACGTCGGCCATGAGCTGCCGCACGTTCTTGCCCACGCGGCCGCGGTGGAAGACGAAGGAGTGGGGGACGGTGCCGAATTCCTGCTGGGCGTGTTGCAGCGCCGCCGCCCGCTCCTTCTTCTGGTTCTTGCTCTTTGGGGAGGATGAGGAAATTTAATTAGAGGGGGGGAAAAATGGGGGGGACCACCAGGTGGGCTTCGGTGGAGAGAGGAACCCTCTCCTTCTTCTGGTTCTTGCTCTTTGGGGAGAGGGCTTTGGTGGAGAGAGGAGAGAGCAACCTGCTCCTTCTTCTGGTTCTTGCTCTTTGGGGAGAGAAAAGTGGGGAGCAACCCCCTCCTTTTTCTGGTTCTTGCTCTTTGGGGAGGATGAGGGGGGCCAGGAAATTTAATTAGAGGGGGAAAATGGGCAATGGATGGTCAGGGACCACTGGGTGGGCTTCGGTGGGGAGAGGAACCCCCTCCTTCTTCTGGTTCTTGCTCTTTGGGGAGAGAAAAGGGGGGAAAAACCCACTCCTCCTTCTGGTTCTTGCTCTTTGGGGAGAGGGGGGGGAAGTAATTAGAGGGGGGAAAAATG